TACACATCTATGAATGTAACCTCCTGAGAACCTCCATCTTTATTCGAGAACATTGGTTTTAGACTGGTCTGGTTGTCCTTATTCAGAGGTGCTACATTTAAATTTTAATTCAATTTTTTTATTTTAAATAAAATATAAATGATTGTTTTTAACTCTTAATTGTTAAAAAAAATCAATGTTTGTTTTTACATTTATGAAGTTCTATTCCTAAATAGGTAGGGGAAGTGAAAAAGGAAAAACCTGGGTACTCTAGAGGACAAAACGGTGGGGGGAGGGGGGGCACTGGGGTGGCCAGCTTATTCTCAAGGAGGGGCATGCCCCCACCCCACCTTCCTGCTTGCGCCCCTGACCTGTGGCTCTCTTGGATTGTCCGAGGCCACCAACGACGCAGCTTCATAAGAATCCACTGATTGGACTGATCCACTGGATTAGTCCATCACTGTGGATTCAAAGTTCTTGTCACTTTGGACTAAACAAATAGACAATTTTTTTCTCATATTGTTTTTCATTTCTGCACTATCAGGATTTTTACTTAGTACAAGTATTTGCCACTGTTTACCATCTGCTGTGACTATTAGCGCTCTAATGTTTACAAAAATAAATTGTTTACAATTGCAATTTTACACATGACCAGCTATGGAGACACAGCCACATGATATTAAAATGTATATTGTTGGAAGTAACGTCTTTTTTTTTTTTTTTAAATACAGTAGTTCCTATTTGAAATAATCGCTGACTGTGTCAAATTTTTTCTACTAACACTACGGGTTGACAGGTGCAAATTGCGGTGCTCGGAAAGTAGAGTCAGAGTGAGAGCTCTTCCTGTCATAGATCATCTTTTCGTCTGTAACCGGTCAGATCTGTGAGGCTAACCTGTCAAGCTACCACTTCCTCCGCCTCCTCCTCCTCGCTCTCTGAAGGCAGCTGAACCTGAGCCGTGAATGAACCACACACCATGCTTTCTGTGGCCCCGATGGCACCGACAGAAACGGGATGAGCCTTGGCGTCTTTGTTATTTCTGTAGTCACTGTTAGTGTGATTCATCCCTTTTAGCCGTAGCTAGCTTCTTTTCTGTCCTGGACAAGACGGCGGCAGCTAGCCACCTTTCTCGCCACCACCGGAGGATGCTGAAGCTGTTCAGTGCCCTGGTTATCCTCGGACTGGTCCTTGCTTGGGTCACCTCCTGGGTGTTGGACAGCTATGACACGGCTTGGCATCCGAAACGGAGCGTTCGGCGTCCGGCTGTCGGCGATGGAGGTGGATTAAAGAGGAGTTCTCCACCATTTCCCGGCGACGAGTTAAACAACATATTCTGGTTTATACAGGTACGCCGTCATTCTCTAGCATCTTTTAATGACAGGTGAGTGCAGCCTAAATGTAAATCGTGTTAGCATTGATATGACATAAGCTTGAATGCTGGAAACTGGTGGAATGATTGATAGAAAAGGGTCACTGACCGCAGATGTGTTTCAGATGGAAAAGGAGACCTTCAAGTTGTAATCAGACTTTGCCCTCATGTGTCTTACAGTTCTTCCATTACTATTATACCCTAACATAAATGTACATATTTGTCTTTATTTGATTTTATTGAATGATTCAAGGTGTCTGACATTCACATAAGTCGATTTCATGATCCAAGACGTATCCCAGATTTCGAGAAGTTCTGCACCAGCACCATTGATGTGATCAAACCAGCTCTTGTGCTTGCAACAGGTAGTCGTTTTATTCTAACCAAAATAAGTTCACGTTAAATAGTTTTCTAAAAGTCTAAAATCATGTGGTTGATCAAAAAGAAAAAAATTGTATAGGTCCTCTGGACGGGTTCTTCTCTAATGAAACGTTTCGTCTCTCCTCCAAGAGACTTCTTCA